CACCTGGAAAATTCTAGAGGGACTAGTACCGAACTTGCACACGAAAATCACTCACAATGAAAGCAAACGACTTGGCAGACGATGCAACATCCCCCCAATGAAAAGCAGGGGTGTCAGTAGCACATTAAGAGACAATACAATAAGTGTCAGGGGCCCGAGACTGTTCAACTGCCTCCCAGCATATACAGTGGACCCCCGCTTAACGATCACCTCCAAATGCGACCAATTATGTAAGTGTATTTATGTAAGTGCGTTTGTACGTGTATGTTTGGGGGTCTGAAATGGACTAATCTACTTCACAATATTCCTTATGGGAAAAAATTCGGTCAGTACTGGCACCTGAACATACTACTGGAATGAAAAAAGTTCGTTAACCGGGGGTCCACTGTATAAGGGGGATTACCAATAGACCCCTGGCAGTCTTCAAGCTGGCACTGGAAAAGCACCTAAAGTCGGTACCTGACCAGCTGGGCTGTGGCTCGTACGTTGGATTGCGTGCAGCCAGCAGTAACAGCCTAGTTGATCAGGCTCTGATCCACCAGGAGGCCTGGTCACAGATTGGGCTGCGGGGGCGTTGACCCCCGGAACTCTCTCCAGGTAAACTTCAGGGTCCAGAATAAACAATGCAGGCATTCCTGGCACTAAACTAACATTTCCTCTGTTCATTAGTTATGTTTTCAGGCTTTACAAATGAATTCCATTTTTATTTTTTATTCACATAATGAATTTTTATTCAAACCAAAAAATAGAAGATTTACTGTTATGCAATATTGTAATAATTGTATAAATATCATCACATCTGTGAATGTATATTAGACCCACCAGCTGGTGTGTATTAGATGTGTGAGGTCGTTTGTTTACTCTTGAACATCGACAAACATTTAACATTTCTGCTACTTGAGCTCAGTTTCAAGCCATTTCCAGTAGTAGAACCTATCAAAATCATCTATTTCTGTAATATATCTTCCATTCTATCAAATGAGACCAATAAATCGCAAATACAACTATAAAAAATACGAAAAAATACTGCAAATTCGGTTTTAATCGAAAATCAAGGTCTCAGTTTTTTTCCTCTCATCATACACTGTGTGCTGCAGGATTTGTTTTATGTGGTGCACACATACCACATAGATGTATTCTCTCTTATCTAGGCCCAAATTTACACCTCACAGCTTATCAGAGTGAGCCGAGCTCATGGCATAGATCTACGGTTTGGACCCTGAACGTAAAGCCGTAGATCTATGGCACGGATCCTGAAAGGGTTAATTGTGTGTTTCATATAAATAAAGGTTTTTATTTTTATGAATTATTTATTTACTTTCACTATTATTATGCGATAAAGCTAAAGAGGGTATACATACCCATTTGTGACTACAATGAAAAATACAAAAACAAAAGTACAGTGGAACCTTGGCTTATGAGTGCCCCATCAAACGAGTTTTTCAGGATAAAAGCAATCGCTCGGTCGATTTCTTGTTTCTGGATACGAGCAAAAATTCAGGATGCAAGCTTCCCCCTCAAGGGAGGTTCCTTGATGCTGGTGAGGGCCTCTTGATCTAGGGAATTGAATTGCTTGGGTGGTAAATGTAGCAGCAAGGAGACGGTTGGAGGCAGTGGAGATGTCCTGTCTAAGGGCAATGTGTGGTGTAAATATTATGCAGAAAATTCGGAGTGTGGAAATTAGGAGAAGGTGTGGAGTTAATAAAAGCATTAGTCAGAGGGCAGAAGAGGGGTTGTTGAGGTGGTTTGGTCATTTAGAGAGAATGGATCAAAGTAGAATGACATGGAAAGCATATAAATCTATAGGGGAAGGAAGGAGGGGTAGGGGTCGTCCTCGAAAGGGTTGGAAAGAGGGGGTAAAGGAGGTTTTGTGGGCGAGGGGCTTGGATTTCCAGCAAGCGTGCATGAGCGTGTTAGATAGGAGTGAATGGAGACGAATGATACTTGGGACCTGACGATCTGTTGGCGTGTGAGCAGGGTAATATTTAGTGAAGGGATTCAGGGAAACCGGTTATTTTCATATAGTCGGACTTGAGTCCTGGAAATGGGAAGTACAATGCCTGCACTTTAAAGGAGGGGTTTTGGGATTTTGGCAGTTTGGAGGGATATGTTGTGTATCTTTATACGTATATGCTTGTAAACTGTTGTATTCTGAGCACCTCTGCAAAAGCAGTGATTATGTGTGAGTGTGGTGAAAGTGTTGAATGATGATGAATGTATTTTCTTTTTGGGGATTTTCTTTCTTTTTTGGGTCACCCTGCCTCGGTGGGAGACGGCCGACTTGTTGAAAAAAAAAAAAAAAAAAATAATAATAATGAGATTTTCTTTCTTTTTTGGGTCACCCTGCCTCGGTGGGAGACGACCGACTTGTTGAAAAAAAAAAAAAAAAATAATGAGCGAGTTTCAAAACATCGCCACTAGGTGGCACAGCCAACGCCACAACATCAGCTGAGCTGTGCAATGTGTTTGTGTCGCGATGGAAGCATTTCTCATGTTATTATAGCCAAATTTCTTTTTTTCTAACCATGGGTCCTAAGAAAGTAAGTGCAAAGGACAGTACTGTGAAGAAAAAGAGGATGTCCATGGAATTGCAGCATGAAATCATAGATAAACAAACAAAGGGGTGGCAGTAAGAGCTGGTAGCAAGTAGCCTATCTTCCACTCTCCACCTCTGCCAGTGTACATACACTTTATAAAACCACTTTATTGCTTTACATCCTCTATTATGTTTTTATACAATTTCTTATTTATGAAACTAGTGCAGTTAGCCTCACAAACACTCCATTTTCTCTTATAATAAAAGCATGGGAAGATATAGTATTATGGCCATAGGCCATATTATGGCCTATTTTATTCATTCTAGAGTATATATCATGTTTCTATGTTTTTTATATTGTTTATTATATCATATTAGATGAATGGTGATAGATAAATAAGCTGTAGAGTTGATATTAGCATCATACTGAAGTATTTTTGTCCTGCCTCCTGAGAGCAGGAATTCAGCTGGAACAGTTTAATGGCATTCAATTAATTTAAATGAGGAAAATTGACTCAGCATATGAGCAGATCAAGATACATGCAAGGTCATGGAATGGATTTAGCTCATAAGCCGAGGTTACACTGTACTACTGTATTTGATTTTTCTTAGATTATACAACTGTATGCATATCCAGTACTGTAATAATATTGTTTTACATAGCCATTGTAAAAAATTAAAACACAAATTTGTCAAAACCTACGTAAATTTAGTCTGAATATTCTATTACTGTAAACCAGTTTCTGATTTATGTATTGATACTTACTTGCTTACTTTGTCCCACTCAGATTTTTGGGGCCGCCCCTGATGAGCGGATGTGGAGGGTAAGATTCAATTATTGGGAAAATTGGATAGCTGGATCAAGTACAGTGCGTAGGTGTTTAGGTCAAGCGGGTTCTGTACTACTGTATTGTTTTCCTTAGATCCATACAACGTATCATACCAACTGTAATAATAGTTTACATAGCCTGTAGAAAAAATCTCACATTTATAGTATTTATTAATTAACAAACGGTTTTCTTTTTTTCTGGTCTTACTATTCCTCCGGTCTCACCCGAGGCAGCAAACTCGATGGGAAGGAAATCTTTTAATAAGTCTGTTTGTATTTTTTAGTCCAGCCGGACCGTTCCCCCAGGAAAGGGTTCCACCCAACCCTAGTGGAAAACTTGAAACATCTTCTTTTAAATTAGTATTTTACAAAGGGGGGTTCTAGTTCTTTCACAAAGGATATCCCCATTCCCATGAAGGAAATTCACGGAAAGAGGAAACTTTATGTTTTCCTATAAAAAACCGGTAATCACAAGGCGTGCCAAAAAAATTGAAAGTTTTTCTTTTTTTTAGAATTTAGGGAATTACAGTTCATGTCCAAAATACAATACCATTTTAAACAATCTCATGGGTACTAGAAAGGTTTTCTCCATATTATAAATACTATATTTGCTGAAAATTAAACCATATTTTTTAAGTTAAAATACTTTGAATCAAATACCAATACGTATTTTAAAGATCATACCGTCTATGTAATTTTCTTAGTCACATATATTACTATATTTGAATCCATCCATGCCTCATTCATTTTAAGAAAATGTCAATAGAAAATACGATAAATGACATACCGTACTTCAATCACAAGCATTGATCTTGAATAAGTACTGGAACCCAGGCCCTGCTTATACCACTGTCAATAGGTTGGACTACGCTAGCAAATCTTATACAAGCATTGGGTTTTTGTGGTACCGGCAGGGCCCTGCTTATACAGCAGGTTGGGTTGTGGACTACTGTAGGGCCCTGCTTATACAGCATGTTGGGTTCTGGGCTACCGCAGGGCCTGCTTATACAGCAGGTTGGGTTCTGGGCTACTGCAGGGCCCTGCTTATACAGCAGGTTGGGTTCTGGGCTACCATAGAGCCCTGCTTATACAGCAGGTTGGGTTCTGGGCTACCGCAGGGCCCCACTTATACAGCAGGTTGGGTTCTGGGCTACCGCAGGGCCCACTTATACAGCAGGTTGGGTTCTGGGCTACCGCAGGGCCCCACTTATACAGCAGGTTGGGTTCTGGGCTACCGCAGGGCCCCACTTATACAGCAGGTTGGGTTCTGGGCTACCGCAGGGCCCCACTTATACAGCAGGTTGGGTTCTGGGCTACCGCAGGGCCCCACTTATACAGCAGGTTGGGTTCTGAGCTACGGCTGTAAAGTAAAAATTGCTGTAAAATAAAACAGCCTTTTTTTCACTTTCAAATGCATATAAAAGTCTGATAACATGTTTACAATATCATATATTAAGTAAGCAATAGAGGAACCTATCTTGAGGTAGAATTTCATGATGAAAAGATTCATATCTTTTTAATTCTTGATACTTAAATGTAAACTGCAATTTTAAGTGTGTAGTAAATATAAAAACTATAACTACAGCAACAGGGAAATCAAAATATGCCCAAAAATATTGTATTCCACAACCAGACTCACGTTGATGGGCCAAATTTATCATCAAGTCTGGCTTCAGCTTGACAGTTGAGAGCTACACCAGTCACCTGGACCATGATAGTCTGGTATTCCACCTGTGCCCAGTAAGTGGTCACTAGTGGAGTGAAGGCTGGTGTGAGAGCTACCTCTGGCACCAGGATGATCCTCTGCAAGTAAGGTGCTGTAGCCGGGTCTGCCACAAACAACAAATGTATTAAAGCAAATAAAATACTGAATCTCCTCAACGGTTACATTGTATATACAATGAAAAATGTACAGTGCACTATATATAACTTTGTTTATATATGATATTTCCTTTAATTACTATTTTAAGGATTAAAGCACAGTATTCTTGTGTTATTGTACAGGTAAACTGTAACATCATAACCCATGTTTATGATATTCCATACTGACATGCCCAAAATTTGAAATATAACTAACAATTTTTTAACATGAATGTGTCTTTTCCTAGGTAGTAGGTTGGTAAACAGCAACCGCCCAGGGAGGTACTAGCGTCCTGCCAAGTGAGTGTACAACGAAAACCTGTAACTGTTTTACATGATGGTAGGATTGCTGGTGTCTTTTGTCTGTCTCATAAACATGCAAGATTTCAGGTATGTCTTGTTACTTCTACTTACACTTAGGTCACACTACACATACGTGTACAAGCATATATATACACACTCCTCTAGGTATTCTTCTATTTTCTTTCTAGTTCTTGTTCATTTCCTCTTATCTCCATGGGGAAGTGGAACAGAATTCTTCCTCTGTAAGCCATGCGTGTTGTAAGAGGCGACTAAAATGCCGGGAGCAAGGGGCTAGTAACCCCTTCTCCTGTATAAATTACTAAATTTAAGAGAAACTTTCGTTTTTCTTTTTGGGCCACCCTGCCTTGGTGGGATACGGCAGGTGTGTTGAAAGAAAGAAAAGAAAGAACGTGTCTTTTCTCCATGGGGAAGTGGAACAGAATTCTTCCTCCGTAAGCTGTGTGTGTCGTAAGAGGCGACTAAAATGCCGGGAGCAAGGGGCTAGTAATATATATTACTAAATTTAAAAGGAAAAGCTTTTGTTTTTCTTTTTGGGCCACCCCACCTCAGTGGGATACGGCTGGTGTGTTGAAAGAAAGAATGTGTCTTCATAGGATATTATTATTATAGGAAGTGCTAAACCTGTAGGGATTATTCAGCATCTGTGGGGGGAAGATGGAAGGCATTCAGGCTTAATTCATGGAATTGGAGCACAGATCCAATCCCCTAGATCTTCATAGACTAGCTTAAGTACTTATCCCACCTCAGCTAATTTCAAAGCCAAGTCCTAGCTATGTTATACTAGCCCCTAGGTTTACTTGGCAGACGATGCAACATCCCCCCAATGAAAAGCAGGGGTGTCACTAGCACGTTAAGAGACCATACAATAAGTGTCAGGGGCCCGAGACTGTTCAACTGCCTCCCAGCATACATAAGGGGGATTACCAACAGACCCCTGGCAGTCTTCAAGCTGGCACTGGACAAGCACCTAAAGTCGGTTCCTGACCAGCCGGGCTGTGGCTCGTACGTTGGTTTGCGTGCAGCCAGCAGTAACAGCCTGGTTGATCAGGCTCTGATCCACCAGGAGGCCTGGTCACAGACCGGGCCGCGGGGCGCTGACCCCCGGAACTCTCTCCAGGTAAACTCCAGATAACTCAAAAGCTGACTAATATCAGGTAGAGTACCTGTTTTAATGCTAGGTAAACAGGAGCACCAGGTTTGAAGAGACTTGCACTTCTCATTCCATAACAGGTTAGTAAATAACAAAAAAAAAAAAAAAAAAAAAAAAAAAAGGCACAATACCGCGACTGGAAGGATACACAAATAACCCACACGTAGAAGAGAGGAGCTTACAACACCGTTTTGGTTCAAGTTGGACCATTTACAAAGTCACGGCGTCGTAAGCTCATCTCTTCTATGTGCGGGTTATTTGTGTGACAGGTTAGTATTTTAACATTCCTATGCAATTTCATTTAAAAATTTCTAGGGATGTGTAATGCTTATTACTGTACAATACTGGCAGTTCTCCCAGTGATTACTGTTATTACAGGCCATGTGATTGCCTAAGAGCTTATCTTGCAGTCTTCCTGGTGGCCTCATGTCTTGTCACATCAAATACAAAATTTATTTTAACATGGCCATTTCCCACTAAGGCAGGGTGCCCCAAAAAAGAAAAAACACTTCCATCTTCACTCATTCCATCGCTGTCTTGCCAGAGACATGCCAATACAACAGTTCAAAAACTAACACATCTCCACCCCTCCTTCAAAATGCTGTATACAATATGTGCTTCACATGTAAGAAGAAGTCACTAGCTTGCATCTCTCCAGCATCACCTCTGTGTTATCTTGCAATAACATGGTATAACAAGTATATCACTTCACTAAACTGCATCATTATTTGTCACCTCATTGTTGCTCTTGCATTATCATGTGTTGCTCCATTATGACACCTGAGCTCTACCCTTTTCCTATCCAGATTACAAAAGCTATGTGAAATGTTATCCATGTGGTTCTGACCTTGCATACAGTGGTCCTGGGGATGATCCTGATGCTCCAGCCACTTCTCATGAATGTCTTCGTTCTGGTCCAGGTCCAAACTGGAAACAGATAAAGGCCACTTTGTAACAGTCAAATTACAGTACGTACTATTATACTACTGATTAAATAAATTTATTTAGGTACAGGTACACATACAGTTACACAAATTATCATACACTGTATTATTATTATAATCAAGGGGGAAGCGCTAAACCCGGAGGATTATACAGCTTCATACACTGTAACTTCTTTTCTTTCAACAAACCGGCCATATCCCACCAAGGCAGGGTGGCCCAAAAAGAAAAACAAAAGTTTCTCTTTTTAAATTTAGTAATTTATTCAGGAGAAGGAGTTACTAGCCCCTTGCTCCTGGCATTTTAGTTGCCTTTTACAAAACGCATGGCTTACAGAGGAAGAATTCTGTTCCACTTCCCCATGCAGATAACAGGAAATAAACAAGAACAAGAACTAGTAAGAAAATAGAAGAAAACCCAGAGGGTTTTGATTTTAATGCCACTACAAGTACAATAAGTAAAAACTTCAATTTAACCAACTCTGATTAAATGGACTCTGAATTTAAAAACAAAATATGTATGCATTTGGAAACTACAGACAAAGTTTGTTGAGTCCAGAATTATTATTATGACCATGGATAAACAATCTCATCATTACAGTTATACTGTGCCATTTACACAGCAGTCCTACTGTACCATTTGCATAACAGTTCTACTGTACCATTTATGTAGGTTCTACTGTACCATATATGCAACCCTTCTACTGTGCAAGTTACACAGAACTTCTACAGTAAATGCACTTAACAGTGTACAGTTCAATACATCCAGTCACTTGTTATAAAAGTATGTAAATCTGAAGGATAATTCTAGTCATTAAGGATTATGGAAACACTTCACCACACAGTGGCTTCATCAGTCTAATATGCTGTATTCTTATCAAGATTGATGGACTAATCACATCGACTCCAAGCTGAGGGACCAATTAACTCAAACTCCTCTGTTCTTCAACCATTCTTTTCTGTAGTGGACTGATGAAGCCAGTGTGGCAAAACATTTCCACAATAAAGTTACCCAAGCATTGCAAACATGCCTAGTTTATCAACTTGTCAGTTCTCTGAATCATTTATCTACATGATATTAGTCCCAGAGGTGGTTGGCAGCATACTCAGCTCACACACTGACGTCCATGGTTCGATCCCCGGTATGGGTGTAAACATTAGGATGTGTTTCCTTAAGACTCCTGCTGTCCATGTTCACCTAGCAGTAAGTAGATACCTGGGTGTTAGTCGACTGGTGTGGGTCACATCCTGAGACAAAATTAATCAAATCTGCAGAAAATACTCTGCATAACAAGGGACTTTCTGTAATAGTACATATGTCATTGATGTCAGCTATGATCTGTATAAGTTACATCATGTACTTGTAGAAATAGATTATTATTAAGTGAATCCTTGTTACCTGGCAAGCATGGGGGTGACCCCTGGGGGTAGTGGGCGTGAGTGACCTTCTAACAAGGTCAACAACCCATGAAGATCCCTGGTCACGTGACGCCAGCTCTCCCTGCCAAGGTCAAATAGGCAAGATTTATTATAATAATAATGATTAGTAATTTAAATAATAATAATATTATAATAGCACCAATAATAATAATAAGAGCAATAATATTATAATAAATAATAATTAATAATAATAATAGTAAGTAGTAGTAATAAATAGTAGTAGGTAAATTTGGGGTGCCAGGGGTAAATGTAAATGGGGAGCTTTTAATTGAGCTATGTGTAGAAAGAAATTTGGTAATAAGTAATACATATTTTATGAAAAAGAGGATAAATAAATATACAAGGTATGATGTAGCACGTAATGAAAGTAGTTTGTTAGATTATGTATTGGTGGATAAAAGGTTGATGGGTAGGCTCCAGGATGTACATGTTTATAGAGGGGCAACTGATATATCAGATCATTATTTAGTTGCAGCTACAGTTAGAGTAAGAGGTAGATGGGAAAAGAGGAAGGTGGCAACAACAAGTAAGAGGGAGGTGAAAGTGTATAAACTAAGGGAGGAGGAAGTTCGGGCGAGATATAAGCGACTATTGGCAGAAAGGTGGGCTAGTGCAAAGATGGTAGTGGGGGGGTTGAAGAGGGTTGGAATAGTTTTAAAAATGCAGTATTAGAATGTGGGGCAGAAGTTTGTGGTTATAGGAGGGTGGGGGCAGGAGGAAAGAGGAGTGATTGGTGGAATGATGAAGTAAAGGGTGTGATAAAGAGAAAAAGGTAGCTTATGAGAGGTTTTTACAAAGCAGAAGTGTTATAAGAAGAGCAGAGTATATGGAGAGTAAAAGAAAGGTGAAGAGAGTGGTGAGAGAGTGCAAAAGGAGAGCAGATGAAAGAGTGGGGAGGGCACTGTCAAGAAATTTTAATGAAAATAAGAAAAAAATTTTGGAGTGAGTTAAACAAGTTAAGAAAGCCAGGGAAATATGGATTTGTCAGTTAAAAACAGAGTAGGGGAGTTAGTAGATGGGGAGATGGAGGCATTAGGTAGATGGCGAGAATATTTTGAGGAACTTTTAAATGTTAAGGAAGAAAAGAGGCAGTAATTTCATGCACTGGTCAGGGAGGTATACCATCTTTTAGGAGTGAAGAAGAGCAGAATGTAAGTGTGGTGGAGGTACGTGAGGCATTTACGTAGAATGAAGGGGGTAAAGCAGCTGGAACTGATGGGATCATGACAGAAATGTTAAAAGCAGGGGGGGGATATAGTGTTGGAGTGGTTGGTACTTTTGTTTAATAAATGTATGAAAGAGGGGAAGGTACCTAGGGATTGGCGGAAGAGCGTGTATAGTTCCTTTATATAAAGGGAAAGGGGACAAAAGAGATTGTAAAATTATAGAGGAATAAGTTTACTGAGTATACCAGGAAAAGTATACGGTAGAGTTACAATTGAAAGAATTAGAGGTAAGACAGAATGTAGAATTGCGGATGAGCAAGGAGGCTTCAGAGTGGGTAGGGGATGTGTAGATCAAGTGTTTACATTGAAGCATATATGTGAACAGTATTTAGATAAAGGTAGGGAAGTTTTTATTGCATTTATGGATTTAGAAAGGCATATGATAGAGTGGATAGAGGAGCAATGTGGCAGATGTTGCAAGTTTATAGAATAGGTGGTAAGTTACTAAATGCGTAAAGAGCTTTTATGAGGATAGTGAGGCTCAGGTTAGGGTGTGTTGAAGAGAGGGAGACTACTTCCCCGGCAAAAGTAGGTCTTAGACAGGGATGTGTAATGTCACCATGGATGTTTAATTTATTTATAGATGGGGTTGTAAAAGAAGTAATGCTAGGGTGTTCGGGAGAGGGGTGGGATTAATTATGGGGAATCAAATTCAAAATGGGAATTGACACAGTTACTTTTTGCTGATGATACTGTGCTTATGGGAGATTCTAAAGAAAATTGCAAAGGTTAGTGGATGAGTTTGAGAATGTGTGTAAAGGTAGAAAGTTGAAAGTGAACATAGAAAAGAGTAAGGTGATGAGGGTATCAAATGATTTAGATAAAGAAAAATTGGATATCAAATTGGGGAGGAGGAGTATGGAAGAAGTGAATGTTTTCAGATACTTGGGAGTTGACGTGTCGGCGGATGGATTTATGAAGGATGAGGTTAATCATAGAATTGATGAGGGAAAAAAGGTGAGTGGTGCGTTGAGGTATATGTGGAGTCAAAAAACGTTATCTATGGAGGCAAAGAAGGGAATGTATGAAAGTATAGTAGTACCAACACTCTTATATGGATGTGAAGCTTGGGTGGTAAATGCAGCAGCGAGGAGACGGTTGGAGGCAGTGGAGATGTCCTGTCTAAGGGCAATGTGTGGTGTAAATATTATGCAGAAAATTCGGAGTGTGGAAATTAGGAGAAGGTGTGGAGTTAATAAAAGCATTAGTCAAGGGCAGAAGAGGGGTTGTTGAGGTGGTTTGGTCATTTAGAGAGAATGGATCAAAGTAGAATGACATGGAAAGCATATAAATCTATAGGGGAAGGAAAGAGGGGTAGGGGTCGTCCTCGAAAGGGTTGGAAAGAGGGGGTAAAGGAGGTTTTGTGGGCGAGGGGCTTGGACTTCCAGCAAGCTGCATGAGCGTGTTAGATAGGAGTGAATGGAGACGAATGATACTTGGGACCTGACGATCTGTTTGGAGTGTGAGCAGGGTAATATTTAGTGAAGGGATTCAGGGAAACCGGTTATTTTCTTATAGTCGGACTTGAGTCCTGGAAATGGGAAGTACAATGCCTGCACTTTAAAGGAGGGGTTTGGGATATTGGCAGTTTGGAGGGATATGTTGTGTATCTTTATACGTATATGCTTCTAAACTGTTGTATTCTGAGCACCTCTGCAAAAGCAGTGATAATGTGTGAGTGTGGTGAAAGTGTTGAATGATGATGAAAGTATTTTCTTTTTGGGGATTTTCTTTCTTTTTTGGGTCACCCTGCCTCGGTGGGAGACGACCAACTTGTTGAAAAAAAAAAAAATAGTAACAATAATTAATAATAATTCCTCAGTCTAAAATGCTGCAAGTGTGTAATAAAATCTGCAGGTGTGCATAAAATTTTACAGCTGTGCACGAAATTATAGGTGTGCACAAAACTGCAGGTGTACCAAATTCTACAGGTGTGCATGAAACACTGCAGGTACACACGAAATTACAAGTGCACAAAACATCGCAAGTATGCACGAAATTGGCTCATTTTTGCCTTATGTGTGTGTGACTCACGTGAGGAGGTAGGAGGCCGGGGCAAAGGCTGTGCTGGTGTTGGAGGAGACTGCCTGGTATAGGTCCACCATCACCTGCAGCAGGAGGAACCAGGAGGCACATTATTATTGTTACACAACACCGTCAGGTTGAAGAATAAGACGTGTGTGCAACACTTGGGTGTCTTCATTGAGGAGATGTTTTGCCTGCACAGAAGACATCTTCAGTCAAATATAACAGTAGAGACAGTAGTGTTATATTCACTTGAAGAAGCCTGGTACACAGGCATAACATTTTGTTACGCCTGTGCACCATAGAGATGCAAAATGAAAATGGAAATACAAAACAAAATAGTTGTAAAATGAAATGTAAGAGGTACAAACCGAGATAAAGGATTTGCAGAATGAGATGGAAAAGGGAGACACAGGAGATTGGTAGAAGAGAGCGAGACAAATAAACATTGCAATTAACCATTAAAGTGTACTTTAGATGTTATGTTTGGTAGGACACGTATTGTTTATGTGCAGTTCTTCCCTTTCTTAATCTCCGTTATCCAAAACATTAGAGGTCAAGGGACTGGTCAACACATTAGCATAGCAAAGTTATAATAGCAATGATCTATTTATAGATTTGTTGATCAGTGGGGACAGCAATGAGTTATATATACAGTGAATTTAGTGACATAAACCTCAGGTTCCAATCCGAACTACCAAACTAGCGCGGCAGGAAATTATGTGATAATAATAAGCAACGTGTGGATGCAATGTTTACTTGGTCGTAGGTTCGGCCCACAGGCGACGGATAAATCATGGTGAATCCTGCTCTTTTACGTTTCTTCCACAAGCGTTTCTCATCAGATCTCTTCCTGGATGTGGCTGTATGGTCATCTGTCATCCACGCTTTTTCGTCATCTGCCATCCCACTGCCTGAAGGAGGCACTGTAGTGTCCTGTCTGGTGTAGGAATCGTTGAAACGGAGCCAACCATCTCTGCCACCCAGGTCAAACTCGTGTAGCTGGTAGGGGTCGCCGCCCCAGGAGGTGTCCGGTGCAGTGCCTCCTTCAGTGTGTTCACCAGCATGATCGAGGGCCCCACTCTCCCTCCTGGTGTGTAGAAGGTACTGTAGATCTGGCTGCGTGAGGCACAGCTCGTGTGAGATTAGGCAATCGATTCCTACCACCCCTGTCAACAAGAAATTATTTTATCTTACATAGTGCAGGAGGATCGAGCCTTCAACATCCCAGGAAGGAGTCAGTATACAGCAGTGTCATCACCCGGCTACAACATCCTCTTTATGGATAATGCAGAGAAAACATGTAAAATAATTGTTGTAGTCACAAGGTGCTAAACTCAAATCAAGTACAGTAGATGTATTTCGGTCCCTGTATCTCATAAGCCCAGCCTCCTGTACCTCAATGTATGCAATAGGAATAGTGAAGAGTGGTAATAAATTTTAATGCAGCAAAATATAAAAATATATCTATGTGTGTATGTATTTTTGTGTTTTTAATACTATTCTATTAAATTTTTAATACCCAGGTATTAAGATTTTCAATACCCGGGTATTAATAGTTTTAATATCCAGGTGTTAAAAATACCTAAAATTGTGAATTAGTTTTAAAATTTTCTACAATGTCGTACGAATTAAATCTTTTGATATTTTTAAGATAGTCTAATCTGACGAAAATTCCAAAGATACCAAGTGTTAAAAATACTGCACTAACAAATCTGCGCACATCCTTGAGGGACGCCTAACACTAATATAAGAACATAAGAACATAAGAAAGGAGGAACACTGCAGAAGGCCTGTTGGCCCATACTAGGCAGGTCCTTTACAATTCATCCCACTAACAAAACATTTGCCCAACCCATTTTTCAATGCCACCCAAGAAACAAGCTCCGATGTGCAAGTCCCACTCAAATCCAACCCCTCCCACTCATGTACTTATCCAACCTAAATTTGAAACTACCCAAAGTCCTAGCCTCAATAACCCAACTAGGTAGACTGTTCCACTCATCAACTACCCTATTTCCAAACCAATACTTTCCTATGTCCTTTCTAAATCTAAACTTATCTAATTTAAATCCATTACAGTAAGAGTAAGGAGAGTATGACCGAGACTCACCTAAGTTATCAGAGGCCTCAACGAGTGCGTCGTTGACCTGAGGTGCCACCTGTGTGTCCCTGGTGAGCAGGAGCAGCAGGTCCCTCGCCACTTGGATCCTGCCCAGGACGTGGGTGTTGCTGGCTTCCTGGTCCGTGGTCGTGAAGGAAAGGTCTGGCTGCCCGCTGACACCCAGTACAGCCGGGTGGAAGCTGGAGTTATAGACCAGGTCGACTCCCAGGAGTTGGTAGCATCCCTCACACCTGACAGTGACGGCAGTGGTGTGGACAGCAATTGACAGTGACAACATCAAGTGTCAAACAGGTGGCAGTGACAACAGTGTCAAACACAGGTGGTAGTGGTTATTGGGATTTTTCCACGAATTGCCTCCTAACGTGCAGCTAATCTAGCTAAAATTGTTAACACAAATATCCTGAGATAACTCGGGCACGCCAGTGGCTCATACAAGAAAATCCACAAGAATTTTTGTTTGCTATGTTACGTAATAGTACACGGCAGTTCTCCTTACTTGAAACAGAGGGAGAACCTCACTTACTTATTCGATACCTCCGTCACTTTATCTCCCATCAGGACGCCATGTTCCACACTTCAACAGTAAAGCTGGCCAGTAATACTGAATAAAACATAAACCCGATCCGCTGGGGCTTGAAAGGATGTTAACAGTTATCCTTGGGGTTTGAGGAAGCTTCATTGGCAAAAAGTTCCTTTTCTTTAGTAAGAATTGCCGGTGTCCTGGCCACACATCCAACCTTCTTGACGAGTACATTGTAACTGACTAACCAGCGACTCTCCTGATCTCAGATTGAATTTTTGAAACACTCGCTACTATCTATAATACTAGTTTTAACCTATTTCTAACTATTCTAGGTTGTATAACGATGTTATTTTCTCCTAAGATTATTGTACACTCTGTGTAACTACTTAAATCTGTAAAATGACAAATATTATATACAACTGTTTATGTAAGCAGTTATATTTAAGGGCTGTTTATACTTACACTATCAATGTTTCGTGAAATAAATTTCAAGTGACAACGATGGTTGTCAAACAACTAATAGTGATAAAATGGATCCCTTAAAATCAAATGACTGAAAATCCCTATCTCAGCATTTCTGTGAGCACTCCTATTATCTGTGAGCACTCCTATTATCTGTGAGCACTCCTATTATATGTCAGCACTCCTATTATCTGTCAGCACTCCTATTATCTGTCAGCACTCCTATTATCTGTCAGCACTCCTAGCATCCTAACCTGCTTTCATCTTTGACAACAGTTACCTCTCACAGCATCACCGTCAGATCTCTCACCTGTAGCGTCGTGTGGCCTTCCTGAGTGTGTGCACTTTGGGTGGCAGGAGGAGGTCGGCGGCTAGGGTCAGTGTGGCCAGTGCAGCCTCTGTGTGGGCCACCATGGTCCTCATGGCCTCTTCTCCAGAGGTACGGCCCACCCACGACACCAGTTCAGACCACGTCCATATGCGACCCTGTATCTGCGGCGGGAGTGTCGTTATTATCTCTTTTATGTGCGGGTTATTTGTGTATCGTTCCAGTCACGGTATTGTGCTTTTTTTGTATTTATGTGGTATGATTGTTTCGAGAATACACCCATGATGATGCCATAACACAACAAAAGGACAAAAACAAATAATTTCTTTTTTTTTCTCGTTTACAGGTAAATAGTTAATATTTAATATATTGGTAGGCACAAAAAGCTACTAGGATGCAGTGTATTACGGGCAGTATGATGTTGGACGAGATCAGGACAGTTTTTAAGTGATTATCATTAGAAACAGTGTAAAGATCAGGATATCTCAACAGCACACAGTATGAGTGAGGATCAAAAATAGAAAGGCCACAATTACGTGATGGAAATTCACACAAATAACCCGCACACACAGGAGTGTTTATGACGACCTTTCGGTCCGATTTGGACCGAGTGAGAATACAAACTAGCACAATAAAAGAAGAGTTATTCGTGAGGCTCCTACCTTGGCGTACCCTCTGGCAGGAGGGTGCCTGAAGACCACCTCCCCGTGGGTGTGGGCGTGGGCGCGGAGAGGCTGCAGGGAAGTCAGTAGCAGATACAGACGGACGGACACACACGCCCCGAGAACCTCCAGCGGGGGACCCCAGTGAACCTGAACCACTTGCCCGGACCCCAGTCTGGGACAGGAAGGACACAAGGGGTAGAGAGAAAGAGAGAGAGAGTTATTAAATTCTTGTTTCGTTTCCTAACACCTCGTCTTACTTGCTCTATAATTACCTTGAGTTTTAAATACGTCCAATACAAAAAGAATGATAGGAATCCCCAAGTTAACGACAGAACGAATCCACTGGAGGTACAGTACGCGGTGTGGGATTCGCTAAGCTGATAACTGTCCTGGGATTCATTAAGCCAATATCTAGATCTACTGCCTCACTAGATCTACTGCCTCCCTAGATCTACTGTCTCTCTAGATCTATTGCCTCTCTAGATCTACTGCCTCACTAGATCTACTGCCTCACTAGATCTACTGCCTCACTAGATCTACTGCCTCACTAGATCTACTCCCTCACTAGATCTACTGCCTCACAGAGCATTATTCATCCTTCTTACCTCTTGTCTCTAAGATCTTCAAGAAGTTTTCTGTTATCTACGAAAGTCACCCCTTTGCCTGAGTGGGCGGCCTTCACCACCCAGTGGGCGGTGTCCGGAAGGGCGTGGGCGGCGGCAGTGAGGTAGGCAGTGTGGGCGGGGAGGGCGTAGCAGGCGGGAACGAGGGCGCGGATGGGCGCGACGAGACGAGAAGCGTGGAGAAGATCACACAGAGCTTCCCGTCGCCACAATGTTCCTCTCAATCCTGGTACACGACCCACCTGTAGACAGATAGATAGATAGATAGATAGATAGATAGATAGAGAGAGAGAGAGAGAGAGAGAGAGAGAGAGAGAGAGAGAGAGAGAGAGAGAGAGAGAGAGAGAGAGAGAGAAGAAGTGAGCTTGTACACCACAAGACGGGCAGCAAGTGGCAACTTCATTCTCACTGTACCTTTCTCCAGAACGTCACTTCTCTGAGATCATTTATTCACAGGATGGCTCAGTCTGGAACGTGTTCATACACCATAATGATATCAACGAAATGAAGTCAGTTGGCCAAATGAAATCACTGGGCACAGACGGCTCCAACTTCATCCTGTTCCATATTTGTGTCTCATAACAATAAAAAGGCTTTCATATGAGCTGATGTAGGTAACAACTCTTAGCTTGTAAATAAAGTTAGGAACCTTAACCTAACCTTGTAAGACCCTGTGTGTGTAGAAAGAGAGAGAGAGAGAGAGAGAGGGAGAGAGAGAGAGAGAGAGAGAAGAGAGAGAGAGAGAGAGAGGAGAGAGAGATGAGGAGGAGAGGAGAGAGAGAGAGAGGAGAGAAGATATTAGAAGCATTCTATACCTCAAGTAATAGTGGTAATTTTAAGTTATTAGTGAATACCACTACCATATGTACCACCAGTACAACTACCACTACTCTACCACTACTAATATATCTACCACCACCACCAGCACTATTGCTACATCACCTCTAAACCACCACAATCCCTTCCACCCCCTATTGTTAACGCCACTGCTACTACTACCACCAGCACTGCTACCGCTACCACTATCCCCACTACTACTGCTACTATTACTACCACCACCACTACTACCTCTGCCACTACCACCACTTTACCAAGATTAATCTGCCTGGTTGTCATCAATGCTAACGAACAGCACCAATTAACCCACCAACCCTTCCCATCTATCCTCCCCACCATCTACCTTCCCCACCTAGACTCCTCTCAACACCTTCCCACTAAGAAACATGAAGCACCATCATTCATTATATAAATAACTTATTTAAACTTATATACACTAAGATGTGCATATCTCTCAGTGTATATACCCTAAGATGTGTACTATCTGTGTATATAGCCTAATCTGTGTATTATCTCAGTGTAAATACCCTAAGATGTGTACTCTCTCTCAGTGTATATAGCCTAATTTGTGTACTATCTTAGCCTAATTTGTGTATTATCTTAGCCTAATTTGTGTACTATCTCTCAGTGTATATACACTAAGTGTACTATCAGTGTATATACCCTAAGAGGTGCACTATCTCTCAATGTATATACCCTAAAAAGTGTGCTATCTGTCAGTGTATATACCCTAAAGAAGTGTACCATCTCTCAGTGTATACGCCCTAAGAAGTGTACTATCTCTGTGTATATGCCCTAAGATGTGTACTATCTCTCAGTGTATATACACCGAAGTGTATATTGTATATCAGTGGATATACTCGAACACTAAAATGTATATACTGTATATCCTGTGTATATTCATCGAGATGTATATCTCTCATTGCATATGCAATAAGGGATGTATGTATAAATACACCGTGAGAATGTATCTCCGTGAATATACACCAAGGTACATCTCAGTGTATATAGGGGTATGAATACTCTTTGGATTCACATCCAGTACCGTACTGGTCTGTAACACGTCTTTCACCAGTACCTTGGATGATGAGCCCTGATACAGACCTCTCTCTCTCTCTCTCTCTCTCTCCCTCTCTTTCTCTCTCAGAATGATCAATCATGGGAGTAACGAGAGGGAGTTTGATGGCTTGGCTTCAGACCAATTATGGACCATCACTACTGACGTGACACCTTCCTCTCTCCCTCCCTCACACTACCTACCTCTATTTCTCACACTGCCTCCCTCCATCACACTTTCTTCCTCCCTTCCTTCCTGCATCACACTTCTATCCTCTTTCCTTTATACTCTTCCTTCCCTCCCTCCCTCACACTTACTACCTGGAGTTTACCCTTTTTCACCTTTTTTTCCTCACAGTTCCTCGTTACTTCAGACTTATTCTCTCCCTCCCTCCTGCTGACTTCATCCATCACACTATTCTCCTTCCCTCTCAATATATGGCTCAACTGTGGCATAGTTGGATCACAATCGTGAGGCCCAGGTTTGATCCTGGGGCCGGTGTAAACGATTACATGTTTAACTTAAGATGTTCCACCTGTTGCCCTTGTTCACCTAGTAGTCAGTAGGTACCTGGGTGTTAGTCCACTCTTGTGGGTCGTGTCCTGGGAGAAATGCCTGAAGAACCCCAATGGGAATAAGCCAGACTGGCTTGGTTTTTGAGTTATCCTGTTTTAGGCTAATGCTTTTTTCAACGCAAAGAGGGTGTGGTGACGATGGTAGTGGTAGTGGTGATAGTGGTGGTGATGGTAGTGTGATGGTGGTAGTGGTGATAGTGGTGGTGATGGTAGTGTGATGGTGGTAGTGGTGATAGTGGTGGTGATGGTAGTGTGATGGTGGTAGTGGTGATAGTGGTGGTGATGGTAGGTGAGGTGTAGTGGTAGTGGTGGTGATGTGGTAGTGGTGATAGTGGGGTGATGGTGTGTGATGGTGATAGTGGTGGTGATGGTAGTGTGATGGTGGTAGTGGTGATAGTGGTGGTGATGGATAGTGTGATGGTGGTAGTGGTGATAGTGGTGGTGTTGGTAGTGTGTGGTGATAGTAGGTGGTGATGGTAGTGTGTGGTGATTAGTGGTGGTGTGGATGGTGATGGTGGTAGTGGTGATAGTGGTGGTGATGGTAGTGTGATTGGTGGTAGTGGTGATAGTGGTGTGTGTAGTGTGGTGTAGTGGTGAGTGTGGTAGTGTGATGTGTAGTGGTAGTGGTTGTAGTGGGTGGATGGGTAGTGTGGTAGTGGTGATAGTGGTGGTGATGGTAGTGTGATGGTGGTAGTGTGTGATAGTGGGTGGTGATGGTAGTGTGATGGTGGTAGTGGTAGTGATAGTGGGTGATGGTAGTGTGACTGGTGGTAGTGGTGATAGTGGTGGTGATGGTAGTGTGACGGTGGTAGGTAGTGGGTGATAGTGGTGGATGATGGTAGTGTGACGGTGGTAGTGGTGATAGTGGTGGTGATGGTAGTGTGATGGTGGTAGTGTGTAGTGGTGATAGTGGTGATGATGGTAGTTGTGACGGTGGTAGTGGTGATAGTGGTGGTGATGGTAGTGTGATGGTAGTGGTAGTGGTGATAGTGGTGATGATGGTAGTGTGAGGTGGTAGTGGTGATAGTGGTGGTGATGGTAGTGTGATGGGGGTTTAGTGGTAGTGGTGATAGTGGTGATGATGGTAGTGTGACGGTGGTAGTGGTGATAGTGGTGGTGATGGTAGTGTGACGGTGGTAGTGGTAGTGGTGATAGTGGTGATGATGGTAGTGTGACGGTGGTAGTGGTGATAGTGGTGGTGATGGTAGTGTGATGTGTGGTAGTGGTAGTGGTGATAGTGGTGATGATGGTAGTGTGACGGTGGTAGTGGTGATAGTGGTGGTGATGGTAGTGTGACGGTGGTAGTGGTGATAGTGGTGATGATGGTAGTGTGACGGTGGTAGTGGTGATAGTGGTGGTGATGGTAGTGTGACGGTGGTAGTGGTGGTAGTGAAAACTACACACCATCTCTCGTGTACTTAAAAAAAACAATCAACATTAATACCTATAAAATCAGCTGACGAGATAATCGGCTGACTGCCTTTGTTGACATAAATCAGCTGTTGAAGCACATCAGCTGACGAGATTAAATCATCATCCTAAACAGTCGTTGGGAACTCATGTTATATGGGTGCCAGAGGATGATGTTAGGGGTGTTAGTACTGACCTTCTGATGAGGGGTTAGAGCTGGGAGAAGTTTCCTAGGGAGGCAGGCTGAGGTGTCTCCGTCAGTATAAGTGAGACACACTAGGAGACGCCAGTCATGGGCTCCTACCTCGCCTCCTGCAGCTGCCTCCTCTGAAACACGGGAAAAGGGGTAGCAGTTAACGGTAAAAGATGATAACAGTCAACGGTAAAAGAGGATAACAGTCAACCATAAGAGGGGATAACAGTCAACGGTAAAAGAGGATAACAGTCACCTATAAGAGGGGATAACAGTCAACCATAAGAGGGGATAACAGTCAACGGTAAAAGGGATGACTCAACAAAACTTACAATAAATATTTCACACATACAATAGTCATCTGATTTTTCGTTCGTCACAAAATACACACAAGTAATACAAATTATACACATAAGTTTATACACATTAACCAAAATCTACCCTAATCTAAATCCGTCTAATCTAACCGAGAATAACACATAATAACATTTATTTCAAACGAAAACAGAGAGGGAAAGTAAGAAAGAGGAACAGTCGAGGGAAAAAGTAGAAGTAGGAACAAGGGTAGAAGAGGTAGAGGTAAGAGAGAGGTAGAAGTAGGGATAGTGTGAGAATAAAGAGAGGAAGAGAGCGAGGAGGAAGTGTTTAACAAGTTAGTGGTAATTAATCAAGAGATCTGCTCCATCTGACTTTATTGACTCCTCTGCCAATACTCTGACACAGGTCGAGACGTCTCTACTCACACCCGCCACCTGCCACTTACACCACTCTTACCTACCACCTACACCACTCACACCTGCCACTTACATCACTAACGCTCGCCACTTACACTACTCACACCAGTCACCTGCCACCTATACCCCTGACACAGGTGCTCAGTGGTCCTTGAACAAATAAAACGACATGGATTCTAAACCTTAGCTAAGTGAGACACGACTCTACTTATACTTGTTGTCACTGTTTACCAAGCAGTAAGTAGGTACCTAAGTGTTAGTCTTCTCAGACCTGTTGCTCTGGTTCACCCAGGATAACTCATTGTGGAGAGGGTTAGCCACCCAGGATAACCCAAGGTAGGCAGGGTTAGCCACCCAGGATAACCCAAGGTAGGCAGGGTTAGCCACCCAGGATAACCCAAGGTAGGCAGGGTTAGCCACCCAGGATAACCCAAGGTAGGCAGGGTTAGCCACCCAGGATAACCCAAGGTAGGCAGGGTTAGCCACCCAGGATAACCCAAGGTAGGCAGGGTTAGCCACCCAGGATAACCCAAGGTAGGCAGGGTTAGCCACCCAGGATAACCCATGAAAGTCAGTGGGTCATCGAGGACTGTCTGTCTTATTTCCATTGTGGTCCTTTAATCTTGTCCCCAGGATGCCACCCACACCAGTCCACTAACATCCATGTGCCTACTTGTTTTCTAGGTGAACGGGACAACAGGTGTAAGGAAATATTATACACAGCTTCCTCACAAGGTATGACACGTCTTAGGAGGCTTGAAAGAAAGGCGTTAAGTCTTTCGTTAGTAGGTAAGCCACGAAAAATCTTAACCTAAGTTCCTGGTTCGATAATTCTGTGTGTTCTCGTCCTCTAATGACCTCTACTGTTCCACAGTTGTGGTATAGCTCTGTGTGGAACGTGGAGAGAGAGAGAGAGAGAGAGAGAGAGAGAGAGAGAGAGAGAGAGAGAGAGAGAGAGAGAAAATTTGTATTCCCCATCCTCTCAATCTCACTCTATCTTCCTTTCTTCCACCCCATCACTTCCTGACCCCCTCATTGTTTAGTCTTTGCTTCCATTTTCTTACCCATAACATTCCCACCCACCCATTATAGGTTCATTCTCCACTTCCCATCCGACCATTGTGTCACGATATCTAGAATGAATGCTTAAATGAAGTAATAGGAGGAAGAGGAAGAGGGAAGATTAGAAGTAAATAGGAGGGAGAAAAGGGGATAAACTAGGGGAGGAGGGAAGAGGATAAGAGGTGGAGGTAAAGAGGACAGGAAAAAAGAGGTGGAGGAGACGCGATGAGAATCTTAGAATAAGTAAGAGAGGAATAAATAAATGATGGAAGGAGGGGAATGATTGTGGACCATTTATCACATTTCCCCCTATTTTGAACGTACATTTTTCTTGACACTTTTTTCTTCTCATTCAGTGGACCAACAATGGTACAAGCATCATGTACCGGTAGCGCTGGATATGCGACGACATTCCTTGCTGAGGTCACCTAATTTTATTCTACCCCGTTTGAAGTACCAGCCTTCACCAGTAGAATAAAATTAGTTGTGAGGCGACCACAGCCACGTATGTACCTGCATCATGACACATGTTTAGTGTTACTGGCTACATGATGTTTGTAGGAATGTTGGTAGAGTGGTTACAGCGTGAATTTTTATTTGCTTCCCAAGAGGCAGGCTAAAATAACACAGGTTCGATCCCCGGCCAGCCAGTTTATTAATTGCTTAAAAAACTACTTGTTCGTGGTTGCATCAACACACACACACAACACACACACACACACACACACACACACACACACACACACATATATATATATATATATATATATATATATATGTATACTATATATATATATATATTATATATATATATATATATATATATATAATATATATATATATATATATACTATTGATATAAAGGTGGCACATACGATACATGTTGTTACGTGTGTATCACCGATTATAAGGCGAAAATCTCATCCAGCTCCTCAGAGCTGGGGCGTGTGCCCAAAATACAGCAGGCATTACCCCTTTGAACAGCCGCACTGAGCCGCTGGAACAGGAAACTAGCTGCCCTTGGATCCCTAGTTACCCTGATGAGTCTTTTTCCCAGCTCCTTAAGGAATTTAGATGCACTCTTTCCCCATGAGCCAAGGGTCTCTGAGCCTATGGGAACAAACATATAATGATGGGCAAGTTCTCCATATTTTCTAGACTTTTGGGACTCCCTGAAGCTGGCAGCTGCCCCTCCTTCCTCCCTGGTGTATTGGAGATAGGTATCAGCCAAGGTAGATGCACATGTATAGTCCCACACCACCTGCTTCCCATCTGTCCAGGCTTGAAGGGTGATACCTTCTGGACGCTTCTGGCTGCCATCAGATCTGCATAGTTGGGGTGGCTCCCTTAGCTGGGCATCCAGCTGTTGTGAGGCTCCTCTTGATAATGTTATTAACCTCCTCATGTCTTGCAATCTTTCCCTCGGATTTACGGCACACAAGACCATGGTACCCGAATCGGTCTGCTGCTTCACTGCCACAAATAAACCTGTGTTCGGCGAGAATGGGGGCGGCAAGTCGAAGGGCAACACGAGGGCGGATGGTCTGTGGGTCGAGACGTTCCCAAAGGCTGGAGGGGGGGAAACAGCCAACGGGAAATTCCCCAAGCATGAGGGGCTCTCACTGCCCGGGGGGCGGGGGTCTATCCTTCCCTGACACAAATCTGAAGCATTGTTTAGGTTTTTTTCCACTATTGGACCATCCCCCGTGCGATTGTTTGTAGTTGTTGGGGGGGAGCGGTCTGGCTCCCGAGCCCGTTTGGGTTATCCCGATCATTGATCCGTTTAATGAAATTTTTTGGGCCTGGATCCCACCTTTAATAAAAATATATATATATCTATATATATATATATATATATAAAATTTTTATTTTTTATATTTTTTATATATATTTATATATATAAATTTTTTTTTTATATTTATATATTTATTTTTTATATTTATAATATATTATAATTTTTATTATTTTTTTATTATATTTTTTTTATAAAAATATAATATATAATTTTTATATATATTATATATATATATTATTTTTATATATATATATTATATATATATAAATTATTTATATATATATTTTTATATATATATATAATTTTTATATTATTTATATATTTATTTTTAAAAATATATAATATTATAATTTTTAATATATATATATTTTATTATTTTTTATATAAAAAAAATATATTATATATATATATTTTTAATTTTTTAAATAAAATTTTTTATATATATATATATAAAAAATATTTTTAATATATATATATTTTATTAGATATATATATAATTATATATATAAAATATTTTTTTATATATATATTTATTATATTATATATTTTATATAAAAATTTATAGTTTATATATATATATATTATAATTTATATATATTTTTATTTTTATTTAAAATATTTATTAATTTATAATTTTTATATTTTTAAATATATATATTTATTTATTTTTATATATATTTTATATTATATAAAAATATATAAAATATTTATTTTTTTTATATATTTAAAATTTTATAAATTTAAAATATATATAATATATATATATATTTATATATATATATATTTAATTTTTAAAAATTTTTTAAAATTTTATATATATATTTAATAAAATTTTATATACTTATATATATTTTTTATTTTATATATATATATATAAAATTATATAAAATATAAATTATATATATATATAAAAAAATCTAAAAATTTTTAAATTAAAAATTTTATTTTTATTTTTTAATAATGTGGGAAAGGGGGTGGCCAAAAAAGGGCCCGGGAACAACAACAAGGGGGTTTTCCCGGTAAACCCCGGGGGGTACAAGGGGGGATCGTAGGAAAAAGAACAAGGTTTTCCCGGGGAGGGAAAAAAGGGGCCTGGATAAAAACCCCTTTCTCCCCCCCCGATTTCCGGGCAGGGAAAAAAGAACAATTTTTATGGTTTAAGTATGTAAAAGAAACCCCAAAAATTTCCGGTCAATCCCCCTTTCAAAATTTAATTAACATTTTTTTTTTTTAAGGGGATTTTTTAAAAAAAAAATGAACAAAAGTTTTTTGGGTAAATCCCCCTTAAAAAATTCTAAAATTTAACAAAAATTTTTTTCATTTTATTATTATTTTTTCAAATAAAAAAAAAAAACCCTGATTTTTTTTTTGGTTTTAAATCTTTATTATTTAACCCCTTAGAAACTTTGGAAAATTTTAAAAATGTAACATCCCTTATTTTATTAATTTTAAAAAAAAATAACGGGTTTGAAGTAAATAAAATTTTCTTTCCAATTTTAATTTAAATTATCCGATGTGCTTTTGGAATTAAATAAATTTCTTTTTAATATTTCTTTTAACTTTAAACTGATGGTGCTAAAACAGAGGT